CCAGGTGGGACCTGGGGACCCCCCGGAATTCCATCTCCCAACTACAGAGATCAGTTCCCCTGGAGAAAATGGATGCTCTGCAGGGTGGATTCTATGGCATTGTACCCTATTGAGATCTGTACCCTCCACAGGCTTCACCCCCAAATCTCCAAGACTTTCCCAACCTGGATCTCGCAACCCTACCTCCCACCCCCCACCAGTGCCTGGGGATGTGGCAACCCTTGCGGCAGGTGGAATCCCTGATAATTGTGCCCAGTTGGCTTGGGGGAGGGGGAAGGTGTTACAGCCAGAATTGTGTTTCCCATCCAGATTGATCAAAACAAAACCCAGATAGGGATGCCAGACCCCTGTGGTCTGTGGAGGCCACTGATCAGCTGGTAGCAGGGGACTTACCAGTAGAAAGACAAAGGCCTAGGCCATGTTGCCGGTGTCACACAGGGCATGTCATCATGCCAGTGAGTTCTGGGTAGTGCTCCAGTATTTGGGTAAAATTCTATGGTAGAAGCTGGTTTTACCATAGAGTTTTTGCCCAATACCAGGGTATTACCTGAGAGTCACTGGTGTGATGACAGTTCCTGTGCAACGTGAGCAATGTGACCTGAGTCTTTGTCCTAGTAAGTCCCCCCCATCCCCCGCAAGTTGCCAAGAGCGACCTGGCAACCCTAAACCCAGATCATTTTAGTTCTTCAAATAAGTAACTTTAAAAAGCATTAAAAAAAACAATACAAGATGAACCAAAAATAGGAGGGGGGATTTTGCTTGTCCTTAGATAAACCTACTTGAATGGGGTAAGAATAAGCTATTATATTTATACATTTTTTATACTGTATCAAACAGAAGAATCAGAAGTAGGGGCTGTGCATTCGGGTTTCCCGAACCAGAAAAAAAAACCCCAAAAGGGTTTTTTTTCAGCTTTTTGGATACCGAAAAGGCTTCTCTGAGCCTTTTCGGATATCCGGAAACCCCCCCCCCCCAAAAAAAATTGGGTTTATTTGGCTTTTTGGGGGGAATCCCAAAAATGGCTTCTAGGGGGGTTTAAAGAACAGCAGAAAACCTCTTTTCCCCACCATTTCCCCCTCTTTCCTGCCTCTTGCTCCTGTTTCCAGGAGGGAGGGGGAAAGACAGACCTTACAGAAAGCCAATCACTGCAATGCATTTCAAAATGCGTTGCAGCTTGCAACTTTTTGCAAGACTGTTGTTGCTGGCTTCAGTTGTAACTTAAGCCCAGCTACTAGCTTGCTCCTTTCCCAGGGAAGGAGCACTGGTGGCCAATAGGAATTTGGCATCTGCTCTCTGGCCAATCATAGAAGGTTGTTCCTTTTTGAAATCCTTCTGTGTATGCCCAGACAGCATAAAAGCAGACTCTCTGGCTGGCTGACTCCATCCTCTTCCTGGTTCCTGCTGCTGCTGGTGAGACAGAGAGCTTGGCTTGGAGATTGTGCGTGGCTGGCCTCTGCTGCCCCTGCTCCTTGAGCCTCCTTTCCTCACAGTGCTGCCTGCCTTGTGGACTACGTCGGATCAAGACTGTGAAGACTTCAGACTGGTTTGAAGTACTAGGGCACTTAAAAAAATTCTTTATTCCTTGTGGGTTGGTGGGTTGGGGCCTGGTGGGGGGAGTAGGCCTCTCAGGCTTCTTTCTGGGGGTTTTTTGTGGGGGGGATTCTTCTTGCAAGGCTAGGTTAGACTCTACTGAAAGAAACAAAAAGGAGTTGGCTGGCCAGCCCACTCCTCCGGTTTCTCTGGGCTCCAGCAGGCCTCCTGAGGGACAGGAGGAGAGGCTGAGAGAGGAGGAAGAGATGGAGGTGGTGCGCCCCAAGCACCTGCCATCTCAACCCCTTCCCCCTGCTCAGCCATCTCTTCCTGCCCTCCAAAGACACGGTGTGTCTGGCCTGAGCTCCTCACAGGAGGCAGCTCCGGGGATGCTCATGGCTGCTTGTCAGCATGGGTGCCCCTTCACCTCTGAAGTCTGGAACCACTTCTGGGTGACAGGGGATCCCCGCTTTGCACAGTGACAGCTGTGTAGGGCCCAGGTAAGTCAAGGGAAGGACATCTCCCATCTCTCGACCTCTGGGCTGTGGAACCATCTGAGGAAGCACCACCAGGCAGTGCGGCTTCAGGGGGAGAGACAGGCTGCTGCTGGGGTGCCCAAGTAGTCACCGCCAGCCAGCCAGGAAGTGAGTCGCACAGTGGCACAGATTCTGGGGGTCACATTGCACTGGTTCTGCTGCTGGTCTGGCTGGCAAACATGCCCCCTCAGTTTATGCTGCAGAGATTCTCTGGTTTGACCTGAGTTCTGTTGGGTTTGGCACTGACTGGCACAGTGGCACAGGTTCTGGAGTCAACATTGCACAGGCTTTGCTGCTGGCCTGGCTGGCAAACATGCCCCCTCTACCATGATCTTTTCCTTGTGTTTCCGCTTGTGCAAGAGTTCTCACACAAGAAGTTTTGCACTGAATTCAACCCTATGTGTAGTGTTGTTTTGGAAACTCCACTGTGCTTAACTGCTTGGTATAAGACGTTGGTCATCAAGTTTTCCAGACCCAGAACCAGCGTTCCCTCTAAGCTGAGTTAGCATGAGCTAGCTCACAATTTTTTAGCTTCCGGCTCACACATTTTTTGTCTTAGCTCAGGAAGGATGGCTCCAGAGCAAACTAATTTATGCAGTAGCCAGATCACTTGCTCACAACTTTAATGCCAGTAGCTCACAAAGTAGAATCTTTGCTCACAAGATGCCACAGCTTAGAGGGAACATTGCAGAACCAGAGGTCATTTCATAGAAAAGAGGTGCAGGAGCTCATTAGCATAACTCATTCGCATATGCCACACCCCCTGGCATCACTGGAAGTGTGTCAGAAGGCAACACCCACTGCTCAGGCTCCACTGGACTGTTTTGGATTGCTAGCTATTGGGGGGGTGGAACGTGCGGATCTGTCCTCGCAGAGGAGGGAGAGCTTGTACCTGAATAAAACTTGATCTTAAAGGTGCCACTGGACTGTTTTGGACCGTGGGGCCGGGGGGGGGGCTCTGCAACTTACCTGGCTGCTTCTTGCTCTGACTGAGGGCTGCTGGGAGCAGGGGGTGGGGCTTGTTGCATGTGCCCGCCCCCTGGGCTCTTTACTGCCGGAGCTCCGCTCCTGTACGCTCCTGCAGGAAATGACCCCTGACCAGAACGCACTTTTAATTCCTAGGAGGTGGTATGGAACTGCTTAACCCACTTGCATGTGATATTGCAGTCACATTGGTGAGAAATAAGGAAGCCAGAGTTATGACCTCACAGATGTTAAAGCGAGAACTGTGAGCTGTGGACCAAGAGAGCCAGGGGACAGGGACCACAAGCTGAGCAGCAGGAAGTGTGTCATAGTGAGGAATCAGTCAAGGTCCTAGTTATGGAGGAGTCTTCTCTGCGACTGATTTTGCCCAACCCTCAGGGAGTTTAGCTCCCCTGCAAAGATTGATAGGAGGTGCAGCACCTTTGCTCTTTGCCCAAGCGCACTGGTAGTAGGACCTTCCAAAAATCAGCCAAAAGGGGAAGGAGGTGTCTGTAGGTGCTCACAACCTGGCAGGTGGTCCTCTGTGACTCACCTGATTTTGCTGTTTATGATGATGGTTGCAAAAACAGTAAGTAATAAGATACATAAAATAAAATAGACTCACCTGGTGGTCATGGCTTATGGGATAGAGATCCCTGGCATAAGAAAATACAGATGGTGGCATTTTTAAATATATTTGTGTGCGTGTGTGTTTGTGTGCTTGTCTCGAAGTCATAGTTGACTTCTGGTGACCCCTACTGGGGGCTTGGATGTTCTTCACAGAGGTGGCTTGATTGGCCTGCCTCTGTGTCCCGCCCCTGGTATTCCTTGGAGGTCGCCCTTCCAAGTACTTGCCAGAGTCAGCCCTGCTTAGCTTCCAAGATCTGATGAGATCAGGCTTGCCTGGGCTATCCAGGTCAAGGTGACGGTGGCATTTTTGATCAAGCTGACAATGTTATAGGAAGGCCAAATCAACAACACTACAAACAACATTTGTAGAGGAACTGATTCATTTATACCATACTAGAATGATGAATTTAGTAATAAGCATCTGCTTCATTTTCACTAAAATGTCTATTGATATACTGGGATTTCTATAATAAAAAGAAGCATTTTGCTTCGTGGCTGACACAATATATTTAGGAAATAGAGCCATAACCAGGTAATTTTGCACCTGAGGCAAGAATATAAAATTGTGCTCCCTATACTTTCATAGTAGTAATTTTGGTTAAAAGGTTAATACATGAATAATAAGAGTAGCAACACGACATTTATGTTGATCATGATATACTTTTTCTGCGCCTCTCAGCTTTGTGCACCGGAGGCAAGGGCCTTACATATGGAATTCACTGCCAAAGGAAGTGGTGGCGGCTACAGGCATGGACAGCTTCAAAAGGGAATTAGATAAGCATATGGAGCAGAGGTTCATCACTGGCTATTAGCCACAAGGTATAGATAGGGGCCACAAGGTATTGAAGGTCAAAGAAGACGGGGACAGCAAAGGATGAGATGGTTAGACAGTGTCATCGATGCAACGAACATGAAATTGAGCAAACTTCAGAGGACGGCGGAAGACCAGAAGGCCTGGCGTGATCTGGTCCATGGGGTCGCAAAGAGTCGGACTTGACTGTGCGACTGAACAACAACAAATAGATAGGGATTCTGGGGCAAGTGATGCTTTGTCTTCTTGGTGCTTGGGGGGGGGGGTCAACACTGGGAGGGCTTCTAATGTCCTGGCCCCACTGGTGGACCTCCTGATGGCACCTGGTATTTCTCGCCACTGTGTCACAGAGTGTTGGACTGGATGGGCCATTGGCCTGATCCAACATTGGCGTCTCTTATGTTCTTATGTACTTGCCATGCACTTGTTACAGCTCTGTCAGAAAGCCCTGGCAGTGTTTGAAGGTCAACAGAAGCAAGCATTTTGCCAGAAGGGGCAAGAAGGAAAGGACCTTACAGGGGGAGACTCACCCGTAAAGAGCTGTATCCGAGTGGTCTGGCGGGTATTTGTGTGAAGGGGCTTCCTCCCTCGGAGGGACGAGAGATGCTATTGCTTCTGCTGCAAATGGAGGTGGAGAAGAGAGGTTTCAGGAAACAAATAGTTCAAATTCATGCAAGTCACTCAAAATGCCTCATCTTTGAGGGGGGTATTTTTCATATGTGCATGTGTGTGAAAGTGTTATGTGTGTGCACCTGGAAGTCATGGCGGCCTCTGGTGACTGAACCCTACCGGGGGCCTGGAGGATATTCAGAGAGGTGGCTGAGTAAAGCCTGCCCCTGCCTCCCACCAAGGAGGTCTCCCATCCAAGTATTTGCCAGAGTCAACCCTGCTTAGCTTCCAAGATCTGACAAGATCGAGCTTGCCTGGGCTATCCAGGTCAGGGCAGAACACCTCATCTTGAACACGACATTTTAGGGGCAGAGTCTACAAACACAATAGTATGTGCAACAATTCTTCATGTGCTGTGTGCAAAGAGGTACACCGCTTCCCTCACAGGACCACTCAGGGCCAAACCAGATGTGACGTTGGCTGATCTGTGAGCAGATTTCTTGGGGGTCTCTCCCCCCTCCCCTGTCTTAAGGGCAGCTCTGGCAAGGGTTCTCCTGCCCTTCTCATGGCTGTTATCTGCCACAGGAGAAGCAGACAGACACCATATTGGTGTGCAGGGCCCATTGAAAACATTTTGCCACCATCATTTGTTGGGTGTCTGCTACCACCTTCCAGTTCCAGCCACGGGGGCATGGCTTGGACCTGGCCGCTGGTGGTACCAGTGACCTCCTGTGCCACTGGTGACTGGGAATGAACTGAGCCCCCCTGCAGAACACTTACACTCTGCTCACTGTGCAACTGCTTAGGTGGCTTGGCCAGAGAATCAGCCCTGCCTGTAAGCCTGTAAGGCAAACAGTCGCTCCAGAGAAGCAATGGAGGTCCAGAAAGTGGCCGGGATGAGTTAAGCTCCTCTTCTTCCCATGCTGTGGCTTTGAGTGGAATCAGATGCCCTCATGGCTGCAGATTTGCTCTTCTTAAAGGTGAGATATTCATTCACATAAGAGTTATTCAGTGGTTGGGATCCCACCAATTTTCCTGCTCACGGTACCCTCCCTCCTTGGTTCTGTCCATATGGGTCCCACCCACAGTCCCCAAAGGACGTTTAGAAAACTAGTAAAGGGCCAAAAGTTAAAAACATCAAAAGTACACACGTTTGTTTCAAAAACATATAGGGCCCAAATAAAGCCTCATAAAATAATCAAAGAGTCCAATTAGACGGCACTTTAGATCTGCGACATGCACGATTCCCTGGTGGATTTAAAAGGCACAACCAGACACAAACATCTGGGAAATGTCCTTGTTCTGTGAACATTGCGTTTTGCCTATCTGGACTTAAATGATAGCACTTTTCGGGCCGACGGGACAACAGTGGATTTTCACCTGTCTGATCGTTCCACCAGCGCACAATCCTCCCATCGGGGTGGTCTGATGTCAGACCATCCCTAACGGGTGCCATTAAAAAAAAAAAACTCTACACATGCGCGGATCAACAAGGACGCGCTGTGACGCCTATGCACCTGTGCAAAACTTTTTTTTAAAAAAAAACCCCTCCGTGGTCGCCTCAGATCTACAAGGACGCACAGTCACACCTTTGCACATGTGCAAAACCTTTTTTAAAAAACACTGCACACAACTCCTTCAGTGGACGCTATGTAGACAATCCACAGCGGAAGCAGCGCGCGATAAGGCGATTCCCCAGTGGGATGTCTGATCATGCAAGGATGGATTAAAAAGATCGGGATCAAATCTGAGCTGGTATAATGGCGGGATTAGCTGCCCGTATGAACACACTCATTGTGACAAATGCACAAAAGGAACTACGTATGATCTGATCCATTTCGGCCCACAAGAGGTCAAGTAATACAGAATACAAGATGCAACAAAGCCCTGTTACACCTGTAAGGCAGTAAACAATTGGTATTGGACCAAAAATGGAATGTTCCAATCTGGAATTGAATGACACACACACACACACACACAAAATTGTTTGTGGGACCACAAATGTATCTGGCCTTGTGTCAGAAGCAATTACATATATTGGAGATAGTAATATTGCCAATATGTACCTTCTAGTTTAGGTCCCAAGATTACAAGTTAAGGGGACAAGGATGCATTTTTACTCACCTAATACATTTTCTGTTGGTATTGAGACTTTCCTCACGCCTTGTCGATGCCAATCTTTGCTTTTCGTTCGGATCTTGGTTAACACCTCTTGCGCCTTTGAGTTGTGCTCTGGATCTTTTGTGTCTGACCGAATAACACTTCTATTCGGACAACTGGTAGATTTCTCCAAGGGTGGGTGCTTGGCTTTCCCTTCCTTCCTCGGGAGCATGGGAGGGACTGGCTCCGCCTCTGGCTTTCCCAAGCCCTTAGAGAGCCTTCCAGTGCCTTCTGTCATCTGCTCCATTATTGCAGAGTTCACCATGTCTATCTTGGCGATGGCCACCTGTTGCTGTGGTGGCCCCTGAGAGATGGCATGTTGCCTGCATGGGTGCCTAGTAGTTGGTGGGGATGGGGGGCCAAGCTGGAGGAAGTGTATTGGGTTGGTGAATGCTAGCATGGGGGGGATCTGCTTGGGCATTCTGCCCTCCACAGCTTCAGGCGTTTCCTGGCTCCCCAGGGAAGGCTGTAAGCTATGGTCTGATGAAGATTTACCTTCATGCTTGTCCGTAATGTAGGCTGTTACTTCAGGAGTACAGGAAGGGTCTAGGGCTGATGGATCGTTTCTCAATGTGGATAAATTGGAATTTGTGTCCAACAGACTGACCCCCGAGTCACTCAGTGTGTTTTCCTGGCCTTGCAGAGCTCCCTCACCCTCCAGCTTGGCCAAATGAACTAGAGTTGATTCTTTTGTTCTTCCATGGGCATTCAAGATCTGGGCATGGCTTTTGGCTTGAAGAACAGACCCTGAGGTCTGGGAGACCAAGTTAGCAGTGGGCAAACTCTTAGGTGTCTGGGCATCACCTGCTAAGCAGTTAGTTGCTGGGCTGGATTCTACTGATTGTAGGACAGACTGGTTGTCATCAGTAGTTGGAAGTAGGTTGGAGGTAGAAGCAAGAGGCAGGGGGTGGAGATCCATGTTAAACCCAAAGACTGGAAGCTGAGGGAGGAAGAGGCTGGTGTCAAGCTCAGGAGCTGAAGCTTCCCTCATCTGTCTGGAGTCAGTTATGAAGGGTTGGATGGACAGATTGGCATTAGGAGTGGGACATACACAAAGACCGGTTTGTGGAAGAGGGTCTGGCATGGACACAAGATGTTTGGCATCATACTCCAGGGGTGGAGAATAGTCAAAAGTGAACAGTTGTTCTAGGAGTTGGCTGGGCCCAGGTTCTAAGGCTAGTGGCGGGACAGGAGCTTCAGTGTCAAGCACGGGAGCTGAAAATGTAGGCAATTCAACAGAAGCGGGCTGAACAGCAAAGAACTGGCCTGTTTGGTTAGAAGAGGGCAGCATTTCTAGGGTTTGAGTGGGATGCTTAGGATCAGGATCAGGATCTGAGGTCTGGGCATGTGAGTTTGCATTGGGCGGAGGGATTCTACACCAGGCAAGCTGTCTGCAATCCTGTGTAAGTGGCGAGGATTGACTGAACTGGCTGGAAACTGCTTCATGGCCCTGTAGTTGATCGAGGATGGGAACTGGGGACGAAGTCTTTGGGAGTTCAGCTCGATGAGTTGCTATGGCAATGGGAGAAGCAGGAATCTCGGAACTGTGCTCCCATTCTGGTCTGTTCTCCTCAAGAACTACAAGACAAGGCGGCTCATCCAGAGTAGTTTCTTGCACTGTGTTAAGTGTCTCTCCTCCCACTTCCTTGCCTAGAAACACAAAGCTCCTCATCGGAGGCTTCAGATGCTGCTGAAATTTCTCCAGATAATTCACATCAGCATCTTGTGCCTGAGGTGACTCTGGATCCCGTGGAGTCAGAGATGAAACAAGGTTTAGTCCTACACTCTCTTTGTCTGCGCTGAGCAGACCCTCACCTGGCGGTGTCGTTTGGAAACTCTTTGGAACAGAACCAGCAGTCTCTCCATGGAAGTCCATACTACTGGTGGTCTTTTTTTGGTGGGTCTGGCTATCTCTAAAGTCACTGCTCAGTACCGAGGCTTTTCTGCAGATCGTGGCACCCAGTGACTCTTGTATGGAATTGGGTTCTCCTTCCACCATAGCATAATCTACTGTGCTGTCTTTGACTCCCTTGCCAGCATCTCCCTGCACTGTATTGGTCACATTCATGGTCCCTGGTGGTGAGGCCAGAATATGGCCTTCATCATCAACAGGGTGATCCACAACCTGAGAATCGTGTACGTCGTGTGGATCAGGAGTGACTGCTAAATCTTCAACAAGCAATGCCATTCCTTCACCACCCAAAGCCCACATACTTTCCCCATCCCCGGCATTTCCCTTGCCCTCATTGCTGCCTCTCTCAGTGGTTTGTTCACCGCCTTCCCCACAGTCAATGTGGTCACATCCACCAGAGTATTCCCATTCTCCGTCGTCAGGCTGTGTCTTTGGGCTGTGGCTCACAAGTGCAGCATTTGCCTTTGTTGTTTGGGTGTGTGGTTCTGATGAAACAGCGGACTCTGGGCAGCCATCCAGCGGGAACAGATCGACGAGAGGGAAGCCCAGTCCTTCGGACTCCACCAAAGGATGGTTCTTGTTGATTTCTGGAAGGACAGAGTCATTTTCCAGAGTGTAAAGTATTTCCATACCAGGTCTGAAAGACTGAACTGGCCTCTCTTTCTGTAACACGTCCCTGGATATGTTCTGTACTTTCACGTCCCACTCCTGATCGCCCTGATCTAACTCTAGCCTCTCCTGCTCTGTTTTCATTGCATTCTCCATTTCTTTCCAGTTCAGACTGTCATCGTCGTCCTCCTCCTCCTCATTCACGTCCTCTAACTCAAGCACTTCCATCTTTACAGGCTCTGGTTTTTCCAGCTCTTTCTGTGTGGATTCTGATTCACTACAATCTGTGTTGCTTTTCACATGTTTAGTTTGGATTTCCTCTTTAGGAGGAGAATGAAGATTGTCTCTTCCTGCATTCTCTTCATTCTCCCAGAGATGGCGGATGCTGGAAATAAACAATTTATTCTCCAAATCTTCCATGTTCTCTTCTGTGTCTGAATGGTTGTTCATTGTTTTGGAGGGTGAAGGAGATAAGGTTATATTAGGCATTGCTTGTGTTTCATCAAAATTTATTCCCCGGCCATTAGAAAGTTCAAAACATTTAGGAGAAGCATAAGATTTAACATCATTCTTTTGTCCTATTAGCTCTATTACTTTCTCCTCATCTCCTGAGGAAAGAATGGACTGTCCTCCACCATCTCTGGGAGACTTTGAAGACATCTCATCGTCACTTCCCCCCATAGCTTTCATTTTCTGAGCAATTCCCTGTTGGGCCTCTCGTTCCCATGACTGTTCTTCATTTGATCTGGTTTTAGAAGACTCAGCGTTTTGATGACATTTTGCAATCCCATGATTCACCAGGGGGCATCTGCAAACTGATTCTTCCTGCTTAGGGAAAGAGTCTGTTCTCAACCTTTCCTCATACTGTGTCTGAAGGAATGTGTCACAAAAGTTCCGAGCTTGGGGAAATCCAACAGGAATGGCATGGTCCTGCAACTGTTCCACATCGGCCTTGCTGGGAGGGGTTGGATCTTGTTCCAAGGGGGTTGGGCCAGAAAGAGATGACTGCAGACCCCTTGAAGAATAAGCCACAGTACATCCTCCTTGATAAAAATCCAAACAGGGGCCCTGCAAACTCCTTTCTTGTACACTGAAGTTGCTTTCCCCCTCAGAAAGTTCTGTCAAGGCCCTGGGATCCCTCTGTGTGCTTTCTGGTCCTACAGGTGTCTCTCTTTCCGAAGGATCTGAGAGTCTGCTCCACACCTGTTCTTCCACAACAAAGAGAAGGGCTGTGTCTTGAGAAGAGAAGGCCTCTTTCTTCTCCTCTGCCTCCTCCTCTTGAGAGACATTACTCATGGTAAGAAAGTCTGTGACTTCATGGTGTCTGCTGGCTGGTGCAGGATCCAAAGGTTCATTGAGTGAGGTGGTGGTCGCAGGAAATGGGTCTCCCACTTTTGTTTTTTCAGACTCCATCAATGGAACATTCTGAAAATGGGAAAAATGAAAAAAAAAACACCTGTTATTGTTAAGAAATGGTTGTACCCTAGAAAACATTCAAAATGTCAAGGTGCTCGACTGCCTGAAAATACATCTAACAGAGATCACATGGTTAAGCAGGAAGAAAGGCATTTGCGATGGGAAATTAAAGCCCCCAGAGGACACTTCAGGAATTTTCTACATAACCCCCCCAAAAGTGCTTGTATTTATCTATATCATGGGTGTCAAACATGTGACCTGGGGGCTAGATCAGGCCCCCGGAGGGCTTCTATCAGGCCCACAGTGGAACTGGCTGTCTTCTGCTTCTTCTTCCAGTTCTGCTTCTGCTGCGTCATCGTAGGTTTGCAGCTTACAGATACACACCTGAACAGTGTACTCAAGATTACCACAGCACAGGATCCAATTCTGGACCTTTTCTGCACGAGCTGGCATTTTTTGGGATGCTCCCGAATCGCCTGATCCCCTTTTGCTCTTTTTGGAGCCTCCCGAATGTCTGGGTGGGCTCTGCCTGTCCTGGCTGGTAGCAGGGGGCTTTGTTTCGGCCACTCCCACATATGGAAAATGTGGGGGGGTGTTTGTTAGTGTCCTGAAGCAGGAGCGACTGGTGGAGTAAAGTATGGACGCCATGCTTTATTTAGCCATGCCCGTCCGTTTTTAACCATGTTTGGATTTATAATTTACCACGCAGTAGCACAAAGAAGGAGCAGAAGAGAATGTGAGTACGTGTATCTTTATTTGCAACTTGGGAAAAATTTGAAAAAATTCTCAGTAAAAAATACCCCAGGCTGTATATATCCAAAATGGAGATTTAGAGTGGCCAGAAAAAGAAGGGGAGAAATAATTGAGTGTTCCTTTTTTCTTGGGGTAAAACTATGCTGTTGGTAAAGATTTGTGACTGATAGAATGGAGCAAGACATGTGTGCGAAACAGACAATTTAATTTGAATAAACGAAGTGGAAAGATAAAGTGTAGTAAAATAGAAATGACGCTCCAAGAGGAAACCAAAGAGGAGGAGGAGATTAATAAAAATGCAGATATTGGAGAACTGTCTATAGAACAATTTCGGAGATTACTGAGGGAAGAGATACAAAAAGGTATTGGGGAACTTTTGGGGAACTTTTCTGGAAAAAAGCAGTATGCGTACTTAAATTTGGAAAATGAGGAAGAGTTGTTGCAGAGCGGGCAGAATGTTGTAGAGGACCAGGACTATGATCAAGAGAAGGTGCTTTTTGACATACAACCTTTATTTACAACAAGTGTGGAAAATGTTAATAAGCAAATGAGTAGCCAAAAGGAGCCAAAAAGATCTCACTACTTAAAGACAGATCTGACAAAAAGAGATTCTCAAAAAATTTCTACTAAAAAAATGAGAAAAATGGTAAAAAAGAGAACAAGTCAAAAGGAGCCAAAGAGACTTGATCACTTAAAGATACAACTGACAAAAAGGGACTTTCAAAAACTTTCGACTAAAGAGATGAGAATATTGTCAAAAAAGAGAACAAGAGGAAGGGTGTGGAAATCTAACAGTGACAACAAGAACATGAAAATCCTGTTGAGATCTGAAAGGGGACACATTAAAACAAAAGTCCATACATATAAAGAGAATAGACATTTGGCTATGGTTGTAAAGAAAAGAAAATTACAGATTTCCAGGAAAAAAATTAAGATATATGATTGGGGTCATGTAATGCTTTCTTTTTCTTTCTCATGTATCTTTAAGTGAGAAAATGAGACTCAGGACTGTTGTTCTAATGAACTATCTTCTCTTTTTGTTCCTTTCTGTGCATATTTATTTTTTATTTTTTGTTAGCTACAAAAATTATGTTGTTTTTCTCTTCCTTTTTCTTTAGCTTTTGACTCTTATTTTATGTGGTCTGTAGGAAAAAAACAAAGTGTCTGGATAGAAAAATGTAAAAAATTATAACGTATGGGTGATTATATAGAGGTAACTTGGATGCTGAAGTAGATAGTATTGTAATGGAACCTTTATTGGCTAAGCAATTTCTAAGATAGGATAGACAAGAAAGTAGGCTGTGATAAGAACTTTAGAAGAGCCCAGCAGGATCAGACCAGGGGTCTATCTAGTCCAGCATCTTGTCTCACATAGTGGCCAACCAGTTCCTCTGGAGCGCCAACAACAGGGAATAGAGGCCGAGGCCTTTGTAAGAATGTTAAGTATGCAACTCAACAACGAAGTAAGTACAAAGTGAATCAGCTTTATTTGAGAACGAGAACTTCCAAAGATCACACAGCATCAGACGACACGACAACACACAACAGTGGAGCATAGCTCCTTTTAAACTCTTCCGGGCTGGGGTAGCCACGCCCTTACATAGTTAACATCCAATCATGTTGTTAAGATAACATCCAATCATTGGTCTTCCCTCCAGCACAGACTCTTACATTTTATTGATTACAGACATTGCTTCAGCCAATGGTGTTGTCTCAGATTTCAATCTGGCTGAGGTCTCAAGTTTAACATGGGATTTGATAGAGTGAAGACACAACAATTCCTCCCCCCTAAGATGGAACAACACCCTGACATAGGTAGTCTTTCAGATAGGAGGGGGCACGCCTTGTTTGACCCGACCTGCAAATAGGTTCGGGGGGTGGAGCAGCTTCAGAGGCCCTGGATGGTTCACTGTCCAGTGAGTCTGGCTGGCTGGTTACTGATGGATCACTTTCCAGAGTGGGACCAGGTCCACACTCGGTTTCTATGGGGGGCTCTGCAACACTCACCTCCTCGACTGGAGGCCCTCGCTGCTCGCCTTCTGGGTGAGGGATCGAGTCAGGCTCGGTGCTGGACTCGAGACTGGAGTCAGCCCACCTCTGCCTGAGCTGATCTATGTGGCGCCGCAGTTTCCTGCCATCTGCAAGCTATGCTACGTACATACGGGTACCCAGAACGTCTGAGATTATGGTGGGAAGCCATAAGTGACCCTCAGTGTAATTCCACGCAAACACTTTGTCCCCCTGATTGAAAGTGCGCGGCAACTCTTGGACTTCACCTCTGGGGGGGTCTAGATTCGGTCAGGTCTGGATGGAGCCTGTCTAACTGGGTTGTTAGCCGGCGTCCCATCAGAAGCTCAGCCGGGCTCCTTCCAGTTGCGGTGCAGGGTGTAATATGCTGCTGTAAAAAGGAAGGAGGCTAGCTTCTGCCCCCAGTCCCCGGGACCCATCTTTTTTAAAGCTTCTTTCGTCGTCCGAACCATCCGTTCGGCCTGCCCGTTTGTGGCTGGATGGAATGGAGCAGATGTTACATGCCTAATAACGTTATCAGACAGAAATTTCTCAAATTCCCCTGAGGGGGCCTGTTGTCCGATACCAGGACGTCCAGCAAACCATGGGTTGCAAAGACCCGACGCAATACATTTATCACAGAAGTTGCTGTTGTGGTACGCATATTAATAACCTCTAACCATTTAGAGAAAGCATCTACAATAATAAAAAACATTTGCCCTTGAAACGGGCTGGCAAAATCAACATGCAGCCTAGACCAAGGCTTGCTCAAGGTTTCCCAGTGCTGTACCGGGGCTTGAGGTGGATCTGGTCTGGACTGCTGGCAGGTCATGCAGTGCCGGACCCAATCCTCTATGTCAGAGTCTATCATTGGCCACCAGACATAGCTCCTTGCCAGAGCTTTCATGTGGACTATGCCTGGATGGCTATCGTGGAGAGCTTCGAGGACCCGCTCTCACAGCTTGGGAGGCACCACTACCCGGTTCCCCCATAACAAGCAACCTTTTGTCACTGACAGTTCGGTTTGCCTCATATGGTACGGCTTAAACTCCTGGTCCACTCTACCTGCTGGCCACCCCGTCCAAACCCAGTTAAGGACATGGGAGAGGGTAGAGTCCTTAGCTGCCGCAGCCGCAATGTCCAAAGAGTGAACCGGAGGCTGAGGCAGTTCATCAGTTGCCAGTACTTCAAACGCTGGCGCCAGATCGACGTCCGTTTGTGGCAGAGGGCAGCGGCTAAGACCATCCGCATGTCCGATTGCCTTGCCAGGATGGTGCTCTAGGTCAAAGTCATAGGCTGCCAGAAAAACAGCCCACTGCAACATGCAGGCCGAAATAACTGTCGGCGTTTGGCGGTCTGGTGCAAACAGGCCCAGCAGCAGCTTGTGGTCCATGACAAGGAGGAACCAGCGGTCATAAACAAAGTCATGGAATTTTTTAATTCCCACCACCAAAGCCAGGCCCTCCTTGTCGATCTGGGCATAGTTTTTTCCTGCGGCCGTTAGAGACCGTGAGTAGTAGGCGATTGGAGCCTCTCGTCCATCTGCCATGACGTGGTTCATTTTATTGGTTACAGACATTGCTTCAGCCAATGGTGTTGTCTCAGATTTCAATCTGGCTGAGGTCTCAATCTTAACATGGGATTTGATAGAGTGAAGACAGAACAAAGAACATAAGAAGAACCCTGCTGGATCAGACCAGTGGTCCATCTAGTCTAGCATCCTGTCTCACACAGTGGCCAACCAGTTCCTCTGGAGGGCCAAAAACAGGGCACAGAGGCTGAGGCCTTCATAAGAACATAAGATCAGACCAGTGGTCCATTTAGTCCAGCATCCTGTCTCACACTGGCCAACCGGTTCCTCTAGACAGCAACAAAAGGGCATAGAGGCTGAGGCCTTCCCCTATGCTGCCTCCTGGCTCTGGGATTCGGAGGTTTAGTGCCTTTGAACATGGAGGTTCCTCAGTCATGGCTAGTAGCCACTGACTGACCTATCCTAAAAACTTTCCTGCTGGCTTCTAACTGCAAGAACCAGCAAGTGGGTGACTCATTGCAGAGGGGGGTAGGGTTGCCAAGTCACTCACGTGGTGCGGTGGGGGAGTCCTTGTCCCCTCCCGGGACATTTGTGCGCGTGCATAGAGTTTTTGGGGCGACTGCTAGAGCGTCACCCGGTGACCCCCCCCCAGCGTGATGACGTCACTTCCGGGTGGCGTCATCACGCTGGAGGTGTGGGCCTGATCCGGCCGTTTCGG